CCTAGGGCTGTATTCACTGCATGCTTCGACAGTGACTAAGGCCCTGGCCAGACTTTATGTTTAAAAACATGTTAGTTAACTTTTTAAACACTCACATTGTCAGGGTTTAACACCTGGAAAATCTGCTTGCAGGGCATGACCAGCTCTAGAGTTGTCTGCAGAGATGCAGCCACAAGAGCCTGAATCCCAGTAGGAATGCTGTGCCAGCCCAAACTGTGGTGCTAGCAAAGGGACAAGTCTTGGAAGAGGAGGAAAAAGAGTCCCCCTGCCCTGAGAGATGCAGCCACCCCCTCTTTTTGCTCCTTGGATGGTGTTTATAGAGCACTCCGATTCTGGTCTCTTTATGTCACTTGGCAAGCTGTAAAATAAACCTGTAAGTACAAACATCTCTGGGAAATATATCCAGCTGATAAATAGGTAATTTATCCTCCTGAATTTCAATGTGACACTTCAGCTGTTAAACTCAGCTTCCGCTTACACTTAATGCCACAGGGATTTTGCTGAACTCCACTTGGAATTGCTCAGACCTTTTATTAGGGCTACAAACTGGCATGAATTTAGTTCCTTTCTTGCAAAAGAAATGATTCATCCACAAATAAATCTATTTTCCTTTGAATATAGGAATTATGAAATACAACTGTTGAAGGGTTTTCAGACTTGTACTCTTGTGTGTATTGTGGCTGCAAAGGGTGAGCTATTTACTATTCCTGTTTGTAGGATGGTTATGCTAAATCTCATTGCAATATTCTTCTCCTGAAATGGATAACTCAGACTTGGAGCATTTGTAGGAGAAATGAATGAACTGTTCAAAATATTTGTTCAGAAGGGGAATTATTAATGCACAAATTAATGAAATGCATGGACACATCATTAATTCTTGGCCTTTATCTTGTGTTACTTGACAAAATGGAGAGACCTCAAACCCATAATTTAAAAATTCATAGATGTTCAGTATAAAAAATATGGTTTGACTTCATCTGCTAAAAAACATTTTACTGAGGCATCACCAAGCCAGCTGTGGGAGACTGAAGGATATTCTTTTAATTGGTTAAAGCTCTAAGTGCTTTATAATTGCTTTCACTAAGCAGCTTCTGTAACACAGCAAATGCTACCTGGAACTGATTACATTTTAATAGGCTTAGCCAACGTCCATCCAGGGACATGCAAAGCCTCCCCTTGGTGTCCATCAATTTGTCTCAACGTCATTATCAGAGCTCAGCTGTGCCATTCAATAACTCCTTCCTTCCATCCACATGGGATCTGATCTGACAGGGAGGTACCGACAGCTGCTTGGAGGAGAACTGGCTGCAGGCAGGTGAATTGGTGGAGATATTCATCCATAGCACAAATCTCTCCCCTTTCAAGAAGACATCTTTGCTTTCAGCCTGAGCCAAGCTCAGAGATTTTTGAGCAGCTGTTTGGAATTGTGAGGCTGAGATGGGGAAGGTTTGTATTGGTCTTTATGTCTGGATACAGGACACAACAGTTGGTGCAGTGTAAATGTGGTTTTACCTGCTGAAGGCTCCTTGTTGCATGCAGCAGCTCTGCTATGAGGAAAGGCTGAGAGAATTGGGGTTGTACAGCCTGGAGAAGAGAAGGCTCCAGGCAGACTTTCTTGCTCCCTTTCAGTATGTTAAGGAGCTCCAAGAGATCTGGAGAGGGACTTTGGACAAGGGCAAGGTGTGAGAGGACAAGGGGACATGCCTTTAAACTGCAAGGGGGAAGGAAGGGTTAGATTGGATATTTGGAAGAAATTCTTCCCTGTGAGGTGGTGAGGCACTGGCACATGTTGCCCAGAGAAACTGTGGATGCCTCATGCCTGAAATTGTTCAAGACCAGGTTGGATAGGGCTTGGAGCAACCTGCTGGGAGGTGTCCCTGCCTATGACAGGGGGTTGGAACTAGATGATGTTTAAGGTCCCTTCCAGCCCCAACTGTTCTATGATTCTATGATTGTTCTGATGTGTCTGTGTGTGATTGTGTTTGAGAATTGTTTAGAATTTTATCAAATGATTGGCATATCAGGCTATGCAATCAGAGAACATTCACCCTTCCATGAAGCATCACACATCCGAGAGACTCATCACCCCAGGAATAGTCACAAAAATTGGAGGTGTTTCATAGTTGGAGAAATGGAAGGAATTGGATAGATGAAGGAGTGTATGAGATCTCTTGATGAGAGGTATTTTTAACAACAGAACTGGTTGCCCGGTTATCCTCACAAAAGAGCTGGGAAGCTGCCAATGCCTGGAGCTCTCTGAATCTGGATCCTCACACCTGATGAACACTGACAGCAGAGAGGGAATTACAATCAGGAATCACAAGCTTAATGAATTAATGAGGTGGCTCCCAGGCAACAGGGCTGACACATTCCTTGATCCTGATCACCCTCATTATTTTGTACATGACCAAAGTCAGACTGAGACAAAAAAAACCAAATAGACAAATGCTACCAAAGAGAAGGAAAAGGATGTTGTGGATGTTTTGAATGAAGCTGTTAGCCTGACCACTTTTAGCTTCTATTTCAGTGCAAAGAAATACATAATCTCAGTAGATTTGGAGGAAAGAAGAAAGAATTTTGCTGCCCTGCACACCCTGAACTGCAAACATTTCTTTCCTGAGCACTAGTTTTACAAGTTCTGAAACATTTCATCCGAAAACAAAACCAACCTCTCTGTACTTCAGGGCAAAGTTCACTTTTGGAAATGGAAAATACTTTGACCCCCATGAAGCTCTGATTCTGTGCCAGCAGTTTTATTAATGGGGACAAGTGCCATTTTTCTTTTTCTATCCTCTTCCAGAAATGAGCCTAGACTGTGTACATGGTTTTGGCTGCCATGGATCCCAGGATAAATTATATGCTTCCTTGTGTATTTTTCACTGTGTTTCAGACAGCTCAGAGGCTGGTTTATTTAAAAAAAAATCGTGATGATCAGGTGATAAAAGTAAATGTGAATCAAGCACCTCCAGTAATCAAGTGCATCTGAAAAATGAGAAGCAGCAGGATTTCACTCACATTCACTAGATAATTAAAGCATTTCTGCATGATGGAGTGAATCACAGACAAAACTGAGGGTGGATTTTTCATTTGCTGGATCTTCCTCAGCACTGGAAAGCAACAAGCAGCCACTCTCTCACTGCCTTCCCAGAAGGGCTGGGAGCTCAGTCCTGCTGCCTGGATGGCCCTGCAGAGGTGCATGGAATATTTGGACATCACTGCCCAGGGGGGGCCCATGGTGTCATATCTGACCCACTTTTGAACTATTTCAGGCTCCAGACTGAAACCCTCCCTTTTGCTAACTGTTCTCAGCTTTTGCAGTACACAACAAAAGCAAAAATTTGCCTGGAGAAGAAGAGGAAGAAGAAGAAAATTACTCATATTGTTCAGAAAGAGAAGGGCTGTTTTGCAGTGCCGCAGAGGAGATGTGGACCTGTGGGTGAGGGGTGCACTTCTACCACTGCTGAGTGATGCCAGGTGTAAATTTGGGTTTCTCTCTTATTATTCATGAAGAGCTCTCTGTTCTTGATGATCAAAGAGTACACAATACTAAAAGGAGAGAGAGAGGTGTGAGGTGGTGCAGCACAAGTGAGAAAAGGCAGCTTCTCACTTAATGGCAGCAGGCAGAAGTGTTAAGAAACAGAAAAGGATAGCAGAGAGCAGAATCCTTCCAGGCTCTGTGCCAAAGCAAGGCTCCCTCCTCCTCCTGCTGAGGGTGGTAGTTCATTGGGGTGCAGAGCCAATAAATACACACAGTCCAGCAAGATAATTATGGGCAACGTTCTCTGGGTTTTTCTTTTCTTTTTCTCAGTAGGTGTTTGCCAATGTGGTGTTTAAAGCCAGGGATGCACATGGCATGGGCATAAAGAGCTGCACGGGATGCATCCCTCGTGAAAAGCAGCTGGAAAAATTCTCATGGAAGTTCTTGGTGCCTCTTCTAAGGGATTTGTCTCCTTGTTGGAATCACAGCCTTGGCAAAGCACTTTAGCTACCAAGATGCCCCATCCCTGGAAGTGTTCAAGGCCAGGTTGCAAGGGCCTTGAAGCAACTTGATCTAGTAGAAGGTGTCCCTGCCCATGGCAGGGGTTTGGAACAAGATCAGCTCAAAGCTTCCTTTCAACCTAAGCCATTCTAAAAGAACCAGTCAGAAAGCTTTCTGCTAACAAACTCCCACCATCTAATGTTTAAAATCAGTACAGGCACTCTTTGTTAGCTATTTTGGGTACTATTTTTGACCAGCTTTTGCTTTACCATCTGTAAGCTTAAGCTACAAGATTCTTTGGTCTTTTCCTCAGCTTATTTAATTAAGCTGTCCAGTATTTTGCAGTACAACTCAATTTCTGAGTGCAGGATCTTTTATTTAACCTCTGTCTGAACCAAAGCTCTGCAGAACAAGGAAAGAAGTGAAGTGATATATGCAAAGTGTAAGTTGCTGTTGACTAAATCATTAAAATGCTGGGCTAGTTTTGCTTTTCAGAGTGTCTGTATGTGAGCAGGTCTGTTCTTTAACTTTGCATATCAACAAGCAAAAGCAAAAGAAAAGAATCATAGAATTTTAGGGGTTGGAATGGACCTTACAGATCATCTAGTCCTAACCCCCTGCCATGGGCAGGGACACCTCCCACCAGAGCAGGTTGCTCAAGGCTCATCCAACCTGGCTGTGAACACTGCCAGAGTTGGGGCAGCCACAGCCTCCCTGGGCAACCTGTGCCAGTGTCTCACCACCCTCACAGGAAACAACTTTTTTCCTAATATCCAGCTGAAATTTCCCCTCCTCTAATTTGAATCCATTACCCCTTGTCCTTTCACTGCAGTTCCTAATCAAGAGTCCCTCTCTGACTTCCCTGTAGCCCCTTCAGATACTGAAAAGCTACTCTGAGGTCTCCACACAACCTTCTCTTCTCCAGGCAAAGGATATTTTGGGTGAAAGCTTTTACCAATTTCTTCAGGTTCTATTTAAGACAGCTCTAGCCAGTCCCATGCCCAAAGCAGAAAATACTTACGCAGGACCCTCACGCCGTGCTTCAAGGCTTGCACACGACTGGGCTCCATGGACATGCTGAGCATCGTCTGCTGCCCACCAATGGTGCACACCTGGTTTTCCTGGGCAGCCTGCTTGAACATGACTATGAGCTGGTTGGCAATGATGGTGTTGAGCACGGAAATTACAACCATGGGGAACACGAAGGAGATGAAAGTGTTGACCTGCAGGGAAGAGATGTGGCACGGTTAAGGGATGAGAAGGATCAGTGGAGCAGGAGATTGTTTTATTTCTCAAAGAACAGCCTGCAGTGGAAATCTTTCTCTTACTCAGCTGGTTTTAGTTTTTGAAGGTTTATTGCACAGGGGGAAGACTCAAATGCCACTGACACACGTTCATTCATGTGGGTCCACACTCAAAAAATGCAAATTCATTCACATCCAAATACAATTTTCAGTGCAGTTCATTGCCAGAAATGTCTTGACTGAAACATGCCGTTGATCTTTTCATCTCCCCAGCAGCAGGATGCTGCTTAGCTTTCATCCTGCATAGTGTGACTTCTAAATAACACTATCTTATTGTCTTTTTCCTTTTATTATAAGCACTCCTTGGGATCTCTTCTAGGTTCTTTTTTTTTTTTTTTTTTTTTTTTGTGTGTTCTGCCCTTTCCTTGTAGATTTAATGACAGCGTTTTGTTATCTCATAACTGAGTTAGCCAATAAACCTTGTGCCTCAAAGGATTAAAATTGATCGGAATAAACAAGTGGAAGTTGTAATGTTTTTAGGACAAATTATTGGATTACTACAGTTTTGATAAAATTAAATGGAGGATCGAATTAAGCAGTGATTGAATCAAGTGGAAGTCACTGCTCATGTCAAATGCAGGAAGGCTTTGTGAGGGCCTTTTGGGCTGTCTAGAAACCTCAGTGGAGCTGAGCTTGACAAATGTGAGCCGAGGGAAATAGAAGCACATGGAGGATTTGCCTGCGCATCGGTGGCAAGACTACCATGGAGCTGCTGTGCTAACCCCAAGAGCTTCTCTTCTCTGCTGTCCAGCTCAGGAGGAGGCTCAGCACATCACTCAGATGAGGGTGGGACAAATAATAGCCCTTTAAATTTGTAAGATTTCAAACTATTGACAAGAATTAAACTGTGCTGCAAATTTCTGTGGAAGCAATTGCATTAAAAGCGATAAAACGACAAAAAGATAAAACTGCTAAACTCAGAGGGAACTCGCCTGGTGGTAGGGCTTCAAGGCATGCTGGGTTCTTCCCCAGGCAGACACACATATCTTGCACCTCAGTGATATAAAACACAGAAGCAACTGTCCAGGGAAGTCTCATCTACAGAGAGATGCTCCATTTTCTCAGCTGGAGACAACATCTGTTCACCCACCCAGCCCTGATGGACCAACACCTCAGTGTACAAGACCTGTTGTACACCCAGTATCTAGTGCAGAATTGTGGTCTCTGCTCTGTAGGGATTCAGAAGTGCCAGAGGTGAATGGAAAGGATCCAACTACACCCCAAGATGCTACAAGGGATGTGCAAAAGAATTAAGAAGGACATAAGCATATGGGAGCAGGTGCACCAGCAATCAGAAGCATTTTCTTTGCCCATAAATCTGAAGATGAAACTCCCCTTTTGGTGAAGACAGGCTGTGTTGTTGCTATCAAAGTTTCCTTTAGATGGATCAACTCTCCATGCAGCTTTGTGCTCCGGAGCTCAATGTGTTACACAGAAGTACCAGCTGGGTTTCGTCTCTCGCAACCCACATGGTGAGAACATCATCTCTCGTTTCTGCTGGTAATAATAATAGAGCTCCTCTGCAACTGAGTGAATTCCTAGATACACCCCACCATTACTAGTTGTTAATGGCCTCTTTTGTTAAATAGAAAGCAGTTTTCTAAGCTTCTAAAAGATCTCACAGCCTCCTGCATATAAAGAAGAGTTATCTTTTGGAGTTGCCTCCACAGGGTAAGACAGATCATTAAGCAGTAAGGACCAACTTCTCAGCTGGTACAAAACAAGAGAGTAATTTGTGCTTGTGAAGAACCTCCTGCATTTATTTAACCTTCCTGATGCAGTTGGGCTGTGCTGGTGCACACAGGGGTGAAATGATTTGCTCAGGTCAGACTAAGAAATGAACCCTATAGTTCCTCACTCCAATTTCTGTGGCTTTAGCTGCCAAAGGCCCCTCTTTTTTCCAAGTGCTAAGCAATGTTTGCACACCAGCACAAGGCAGCACCTAACACTGGAAACACTTTGCTCTGTCACCTGAGATTCAGAGTTTATTGGTTTTCATTCAAAAAACTTTGCCCAGCTATAAATTAGTCTTGCTTAATATAATTTTGCAGAACTCAGAAAGTATTTTCTGAGCTTTCTTAAAAGCCTTAATTCATTCTAGAATTGCATTGCAAAGCCTTTTAAGAGATTGGGAAATTGTCTAGAATAGCATTGACTTTCCTTTTTATGAATTGTTATGGTAAAAGTGTGAATATTGCATACTTTCTATGAAAAGATTTATCTAAAGATATTTTCCTGGTTTTGATTTATACCAAAGCTCTCATATAGCTTAAAAAGGTAATCAATATTTTCCCCAGAAGCAGAATGCTTTAATTTGTAGATAGAATCACTTGCAAACAGACTCTCAAGGACCATTAAGGCTAGAAATGCTGATTTCCCTCCTGCAAACTCTCTGTATTCCATGTTTTTCTGTTTAGCTGCTTGCTGGGCTGTGTGAGCCCAGACACCAGCACACTCTGCACGTCACTGCTGCAACACTTCATTTCCAGGTGACTTTGCACACTGCTGGAGCACTATTCAAATCCAGTGGAAAATTTCCCACCTGCTTCAAGAGGAGCTGGTCTGAGAAACCAGAACTACAAATTCAAAGATCTTGAAGAGCAGGAAGACTTGTACAGGTGTTTAGTGGAATTCTGTACAGCATGGAAACTCCTAACACCAGTAGACTAAAGTGGCTATGGCTGTTAGTGAGCATTTATGGGACTCTTTGGGTCTTTATATACCTTTACAGGCCAATCTGGTCCTGGGGAGGGCTCAAACAGTGTCCAGGTTAATTTTTGATCTGAAAGTCTCATGGCTCACCATGGAAAGAACAGGTTGTGTGTTACTGGATCTACACTAACTCCATATTCAAGGTTGTTTGGATGCACAAGCAGCAGTCTGGCCTCATCTCTGCTCTCATCAAGCACAGTTCAGTCTGATTCTCCCCTCCTTAATAGAGAATGCAATCAGTTTTAATGACTGATGTGTTTGCATCAGTGTGAACCCACCAGACCTGAGGTTTCTGCCCAGCACCACGATGGGCAGTGATGTGCAGAATGAGCTCAGTGCAGAAGCTCAAAGCCATGCATGGAAAGGCTTAGCACTGGCTGCTCTAGTCTAAAAACCCACAACACACAAACCCCGTGACTGTGTGCTAAATCCTCATTAAAAAAAAAAACAACAAGAAAATCCAATACTACAATGTTTGCCACTAGCAGGACAGAATGAAACACTAACCCACTTCCATGCTGCTGTCACTCCTGTAATCAGTGCAATCCTAAATGCTGTTCAAGCACCAGGCTGGCAGCATCTGGGGGATGGGATTAGTCCTCAGGACCAAATTGTGTTTTGTTTCATATAGAACAACCTTCCCATCCAGCACTGCCCGAGCAGTGACAGTCAGAGACCCAAATTGCTCTTCTCTGGTTGCACTGTGTGAGATGGTGACACTGCAGATGCCACTGAAGGATGAGCTCCCAGCAGAAACCTCAGCCAAACCCCTGTCCCCACAAAGGCATGTCTGGGATATCTGATCACTTGACACCTTGGTGGTTGTGGGGGTTGTGGCCCAGGCACTGAGCCTCCTTGACTCTCTAATGATGATGCACTGTTCATCCCACCCTTCTCTTGGAGCTCTGTTGCCAAAGGTGATTTAAATTCCAGCCAAAACAAGATGCATTAAAACTACACAGAGTTTTTCAGGACACAGGAGACAGAGCAAACCTGGGGATGAACCTTCATAAGCTCAAGAGGAGTCAAATGGAAATTTATGGAAATGAAGTCAAACTTTTGGAAAGGCAAAAAACAGCAGGTATCAGCCTCACAATCTGCTCAATAAAAATCAGACTTTGCATAAGGCTAGAGAATTCAGCATGATGTGAGTTTTCTTCTTCCTTCCAAACAGGAGCATGGGAGAGACATGGGAGAAGGGATCAGAAAAACCAAGGGATAAGAAAGTAGAACTCAAGTCTTTTGTACAGAAAACTGCTCCCCTGGCTCTGCTGAGCTTGATGCTGACGTGACTCACTTTTGCCAAATCATCCCTCAAATTATTTGGCTGTGTGGTTTCCCTGAGTTACCACTAAAAGCAGCCATGAGCTTGCTTGCAACTGTGATGGAGAAGATGAGCACAGAACTTCACACAGAGACTCCCCAGAGGGCTTAAACAAGTTCTGTAAATCAGAAGTTTTGCAAAGATTTCTTCTTTTGTACTCCAAGGTACACAGGTTTAGAGGAACACAGACTCAAAGGCCCCTTTGGAAGAAGATGGTTTTTCCATCCCTCCTACAAGCCCAGACTTCTCTCTTAGATGTATCTTAAGGGGAAGAGGGGAAAATTTACAAATATTACACCTGTTACAGGCATTTATGGATCACCTTTGCTCCCAGCAAAACTCTATCACTTGAACCACCTACAGCTGATTGTTCCCAGGGTCCATCAGCACATGGTTTTGGAGAGGCACAGAACTGATGAGTGAGGTCTTGGAGCATGTAAGTGTTTAAAATTAAAAAATGAGGCTAAAGTCTCTTTTGGAGCTAAAGTAGCAAATTGAACACTTGAAGTATTTATGACAAAACTAGCAAAGAATCAGAACTTCTCACAATAATTTAATTGAAATAATTTTGGTGAGGAATCATTCCATCCCTGAAATCCTAAGAGATTTTTGAACATGTGTCTTGTCTTTTCCCTCGTGCCTTTTGTTCTAAATAGGTAAATAAAGTCTCCCAAAGCCAATGCAGTGTGAAGTGCCAGTCACAGCATCAGCATGGAGTGCTGCACCACACTGGTGCATCCCATAGAGCTGCAGCTGGGATACCTTGGTCAGCAGGAGCAAAGTCCCCAGAGTGAGATGGCTGAAACCTTTCAGTTTTCTGCTGGGGAGGATTCTCAGTGCAGAGACTCTTGAGGACATGCCTAGGGAAATGGTTGGGAAACCC